AGAGAGAGAGAGAGAGAGAGAGAGAGAGAGAGAGAGAGAGAGAGAGAGAGAGAGAGAGAGAGAGAGAGAGAGAGAGCACATCTGTCTCAGAATCTCTCGACCATAACGGTGATCTGTGTCGAGTGACCACATCTGATGTAAGGGACGCTGGACCACGTTTTCAGCATTACTTATATAAAATCCGCTTTCAGTTTTTAAAAACAACGAAGACGTGATGTGCTATCAACCCTGTCCTCGACAACAGACATGCAGCATTCAATTTGTTCAGGCTAGGGAAGCTGAGAGAAATGTCGGACATACCTGCCCCTCAATGTGGTTCAAGTCATCCCCGAAGACGGCAACCAATCTCTGCCATATCAGGAAACATGCATCGATAATTTGATACAGTAAATGGTGAGGAATGCAGGCAATTTACAAGCACAATAAGCGCCGCATTTATTGCACCATACTGAATACAGCGCATAGGAAACTTTCCTTTTAACCGGTTTTATTGGTCAGATAGGCTTTGGCGGCCGACTGTTCGTAACAAGTCTTGGCGAGGCCCGCCTCTCAATGTACGAAAGCAGCAAAACAGAGATAGGTGGGTGGGGTTCAGAAAGGAGGAATGATGGGTCGACACGCAATAGAAAGTCGGCAGGCACGTAATCCTTCCAAGGGCAGCAATCAATGCTGTCAGGGGTCACTGGGCGTAACTTGGGGAAGCATGGAGGAAAAGAAGCTCTGTTATGATGTTTTTAAGGGACGGTGAGCCCGGTTCTCAGCAGGTGATGCTCCCCATCTAGTAATAGAAAAGACTCAAAAGAGCACCAAAAAAAAAACAAAAACAAGGAAAAAAAAAAGAAAATAGACAGGCGGCACGGGGAGAAAGCCAAGGGAGGGGATGGGACTGGGAAATCTGTGGAAGGCAGGACGGCACACAGGTGGGAAAACAGACAGAGATGCATGATGTAGAAATAACGTTTTGTCAGACAAACATCTTTCTTTCCTTTAGGCTTTCTCATTTCTTGGTTCCGGTGAAGGAACCAGAATCACATTTCAAGACCCTGTACGCCACATCTTTGATGTGAAATCGCCTTGACATGACAACTTTTCAATCAGCCGTCCCATCTGAGTCCAACGATGTGTTTCCCTGTGCTGGTGTAGCCTATCTGATCCCACCGCGGACTTGCTTCCACTCTTCATCTTCCTTCTCCCTTTCTACCTTGTCCTCACTTCACATTTTATCGATCTGAACTGTGGACGAAGTGTGCCCCTACGGCCTACCCTACGGGCCAGCCCTGGGACTTGGGACTTGTCGGGACCCTGGGACCGGGACTGGGTGTCTGCAGCGTGAATCTTTTCACAATGCCTCTCATGCCCCTCAGATGCATCTCACTCATTGCAATACCAGAAGTCCTTATGCTGCAAGTACATGGCCCCAGCTTTGTCGAGAAATTGTTTGCACCTACTCCGAAAAAATCGGGGCCAGCGCGCCATTGGTAAATTTCATCAATGGCAGTGGCGTTGCGTTTTGGGCCTCCGAAACTCGCGGTGAGGGGGCTGTGGCCGATGTGTGGCTGGTTGTGTCCTGGTGGTTTAAGAGGGGGCCAAGAAGGCCAAGGCAATTGCAAGACGCGGGTTACCAACTGTGACGCCTTTTTTCGACGCCTTTTGAGAACCAGGCCCTGGGTGTTAAGGACAAGCCACGTTAGAGTGAGTACAACACCATACAAAAGGCATTTTAAGGGGGGAGGGTTGGGGTGGGGGGAGTGGGGGCTATGGCAGCAGTGATTGTGAGCGAGACCTTTTCTCACCTGTCTGTTCTGAAATGCTCTCACCATTCTCTTATTCAAAACCTGTTGCAATTTTAAAACCATACAAGCAATACACAAATATTGGTAAACGGTATTTTTTTTGAAAATCCCCTCAGCGTCAGTCGATTCAGCCCACTTAGACAGAAACTACCACACAATGTACACAGTACTACACACGTACTTGCCTATACCTCCCCAACCTGAAATCAATGGAACCAAAGTACTGATGAGTCGGTGTACAACAGAACCTTTGTGCGATTGCATAACAAAACGAATTTGCGAAAGAAGAAGTGTTTCCTGTGATTTCTTGCATGTTTTTTTACAGCAAGAAGTTTAGCCCTATGTGAAATGAAGTCGTTACTCGAGATCAACAAAAGCCGTAGATTGCTCGTAGCTAAATATTAAACCCAAAGACTGCAACTGGTTAAGTATACATTATTCCGCGAGTGATGAGTTAACCTGGCCGGCGTACCCATATGCCGGAAAAATCCGTGTGACTGTCTGACGTAAAAAAAAAAAAAAAAAAAAAAAAAAAAGCATATGCAATATGAAGCGATTTGTCAAGATAGAGCTCTTCCACCAGTGGTTAACGGGGTAAACTGTGCACTCTATGGAATGATACAATTTTTGGTTAAAAAGGCCTTCTGGTTTTCTTATAAATAGCATTAAAAAACCGCGATATTTTGGGTCTCCGTAAACCGCCTCTCAGCTCTTCCTAACCAAATACGTTACAAATATAGTAATATACTCTCAAATAAGCCAAATTAGCCAAATTACCAAGAAATAGTTGCAAGACAAGAGAGAGAAATCAATGTATTTTGATAAAGATGATCTCATAACTTCTCGTTCCACATATAAATTATTGCGTGTATCGAGGAGTCGTCGGTGAATTAGCATCCGGACGTGCTTTATATGGCATAAAGAAGTGTAGTTGGTAGTTCTTCATAAATGTGCAATTACTTGCTGGTCTTTGGTTGCCTGTAGCCTCTCTTGTCGAGGCTGTACTGTAGGTAGGATGGATTCGTGATTTTGTTTGGCTGAGGGCTAACCGAGAGACCTACCTGTAGGGGAAATTCTTGAGGGACATATCTGTAAATTCGGGAAACACAGGCCCGTACTAACTGAAATTACCTACAGTTACCCTAGCTGCAAATAGCAGGCCCGGGCTACCCCTAGGACAGACAGGCCCTACGGGCCTAAGCTGATAGACGGTCCTATAGCCTATAGCCGGGTAGGGAGAGGCCCTAGAGGCCGAAACTGAAACGGTACCGGTTGGTCCAGTCAGTCCGGTCTAGGTCGAGTTTAGGCTAGTGTAGGTTATAGATAGGAGGAGGACATCGGTTCGGGCCTTTTGGCAGTTGGTGCCGTGTACATCGCTGCTGTGCAACGCGTGAACTGGAAGTGGTGACAGCTTCAGCGTTGGAGAAGACGGCCATAGCTGGACCTGCGGAGTGTCAGCCATATCTGGGACTGATGCTGTACTCTGACAGCACGTGGGGCTGCCAGAGGTCCGAGCTATTACAAGTCTGCTGGAGGCGAGACAAGTTGGTGCCCTGCTGGACCCTCTTCCGGAGTAGGGTTACAGGGTGTGTGGCGCTGCAGCCATAGCTGCAGTTTCTTCCTCAGAGATCATCTTGTCAGGAGAGGTGGCGCTGCTGCAAACTTCCACCCGGGAAGTCATTCGGCACTTCATCATCATCAGACACTGTGGCGCTTGTCTTCTTCTTCATCCTCTGAGAAGCGCTTGGCCTCAGAGGCCTGTTTCAGGGTGGCGCTTCCCTCTGGAGGCAGTATCTGGGTGGCGCTTGATGTTTCAGGGACTCAGGGGTGTTATTAGCGGTTACTCAGGGTTGGGGAGTGAAGCGCTGCTCATTTCTGAGCAGCGCACCATAGTTCTGGGTTTATTCTGACAATTCGAGACTTTAATAAACAATGTCGATACTGGGTTTGAACTATCTTTGCTTCATTGCGTTTTGGATGTGATATACTCGGCTTTCCTTTGTGACTGGTTGTGAGGATTCTGTGGAGCGAATTGCACTGTCAGTGCTTTCTATCATATCGCATGGTCAAGTCTTTCACTGTGTTTACCTCCCCCTGTGCGGTGTGATACTCCCATCCTCTCCCCTTCCTTCTGTGTGTGTATGGACATACTTGGAAGTCTATGTGTGCGAATGTTGGTCAACTGACAACAGACAACCAGGTTCATAACAAATGGATGTGTTATGGGCATATTGATCTTAAAGGACCAGTAAAACTGCCGTACAACAGCCTCCAGCGAGGCCCCCACAAGTTTTGGAGGGCAGTAACACAACAAAGGCCGCTGAACAAATTCATCAACGGCGGCCCAAAGGCCGCCTGGTCCCCGAAAAATGGGGTATAGGACCTATAGGACCTATAGGTTATATTTCCACTTAGGACTCCAGCCTGAAAGGTCGTGGCAGTTTAATGAAAAAGAAAAAGAAGCTCAGAAAGGCCGAGAAAGCCAAATAGTCTGTGATTCTTTTCAACGAATGAATTTTTTTTGGGCAAAATAAAAAAGGGTTCCCCCCCTCTGAGGGGAAGGAAGAAAACCGGGTTTTCGGTTTTGACTCTCGAGGGCTCCCTCCCCGCTTTAGTTGATACCATGATTTCCCATTTGGGAGTTTGACAGTTTGTTTCATTTCTTTTGCCTTTTTTTTCTGGGCACATCCCAGACCCCTGCTGTTGCCTTTTTTTTCTGGACACATCCCAGACCCCTGGATACGTTCCCGGGCCCTCAGCGTCAAGTTTTGCCGTTCGCCCGTAGATGTTGCTGGGACGTTTGAACCCACTTAAAGTGAGTAGGTAGGGTAGGTAGGGTAGGTAGTCTGGAGGTAGTCTGGAGGTAGGGAAGCTCTGATCCTGACCGAGTTTCTTTGAAGTACAGTTTGGTCGTGTTTCAAACGGGTGTGCCTAGGTTTCGGTACGTAAAGAAATTAGCTCAGCAAAAATAAGAGAGGGGATACCACCTACTCACTTTTCTGGGGCGTTTAGTGCATTTGCTCTCCGTGGCAACAGGGACGTGCTGGATATGTGAAATCTCTGCCGCAGCAGCCATAGCATTCAATAGGAGTGAAGCTGACGCAGTGCTGGAAATGGATAGGTAACAAGTCACCGCAGCCATAGCAATTAAGACCTACGAGGTTCAGTCCTTCGGGACATCCGTTAAATACAGAGAAGATTAACATGGCCCCTGCGCATGGATGACACACATAAATCGAGAAATGGTCCAAAAAAAAAAAAAAAAAAAAAAAAAAAAAAAAAAAAAAAAGACCTATGAGGATCAACTGCAGCGTTGCATGTTGAAGAGTGTGGCAGGGCGCCAGCTTTGGGAAGCTTTCATCGTGCACTCTGTCAAGGGAGGGCAATTGTTGATTTCTTTTTTTCTTTTTTGTTTTCTTTTACTTTTTAATTTTTTGTTGCCAACCTTGCAGCAATTGTTGGTTTCTAATCAAGCGTACAGAAGGGATTACAAGCCTGTGTTGAGTCTGTGGACTGAATCCAGCGTGCTTCTTACACGTTCTTGACATATGTATACACTACCATACAGTACACGTACAATCTGTTGAATTTTGTATCTCGAATTTTGCCCTCTGTTGAGGTTTTGGATTTTGAATCTTCCCATCCCAATGGTAGAAATGTAGATTTCACCATCTGCATTCAGCACGGGCAGTTTTTGTCCAGATACTGATTTTTCTTCTGATGTTCCTGAATTTTTTTCTGAATCATTCTGTACAAGGGGCGTTGGACCCGTTTTCCAGCAAATGATGCTCCCCACCAATAGATGGAGCCTCTCCCCAGGTGCTAGCGGTGTCTGACTTTACCAGCACCGCTGGCACTGGTGGGAGTGTTTCTGTTACTGAAAAAAAAAAAAGAAAAAAAAAAGGTTTATGGGTGTACCAACTCAGCTAGGCCTATTGGTTGGTTCATCCTGCTATTCAGCAGTGCATGGGTAGCTTTTTATCCAAAGTTCTGCTATTCACCCAACACTGCTATTCCAATGGTAACTTACTATCCTTTTCTTCCTCAGTCCTGACATCATCTTGTTTTTCATCTTCCTCTTTTCATCTGAATATCAGTGATTTCTCTCAACCTGGCCTGGTGGCTGAATGCTACACACAACTAACTGTCCATAAACAGACCATGAGCTAAAACTTGAAAGGTTAAAACTTAAAACACCGATCGATAAATAGTAGTAGGGGCTCGCGGGGCCAGTGGCCTAGCTCAGTTGGTTGAGCACATGAGTGACATTCAGGAGGTCATGGGTTCGATTCCCCACATCATCCATTGATTCCCCCCCCTGCGGCGCGCTTTGGGCCCACCAGCTGAGATAGTTGGTTTGGCCCCCCCGGTTGGTCTTGGTAGGGGCTGTGCAACCCTCGCATCCCCTGCCAGGAGTTGGGAGGTTAGGTACTACTCGCGACTCAGAGTAGAGTGGATAATGTGTTGTCTATCCCTTCGAGCATAGATTGAGAATTCACCTTGCAGCGACCTAGGGGTAGCTAGCGGGAGGTGTAAAAATATTGAGAGAAGAAAATAGCGTACTCAACTAGCTTTCCAGCCCGGCCCCCACCGTGTCTGGCGCCCGGGGCGCCCGGCCTGGCAACCCCCCCGAGTAGGCACCAGGGCGCCCCTCGCACTGAGGCAGAAAAAGCCTCAATTTCTTTTTTCACGCTGCCACCCTATTCCGAAAATGCCAACTTCCATTTTGGCGGTCGGCGCTTTTTTTGGGGGGGGGGGTCCAGCACACTCTGTTTTGTAGGTTTTTATTTTCTTGGATTTTGGTCGTTGATCTCCATTGATCGGCGGCGTGCACTGATCCAGGATTCAAATTTTAATCCTGGGGCGTGGCGCTCCCTCCTTGTGCCCCTCCATAACCTCGCCCCCTCCTTCCTCCCTTCTCCCTCCTCCCTCCCTCCTCTGACGTGGCGCTCCTCCGTCCTCTGTCCCTCCTCTGACGTGGTGTGCGAGGAATGAGCCCTCGCGGGCCCTTGTCAAGCATGCACATGTTCTGGGCAAAGGCC